CTAAGACAATACTAATTTCTGATAGTGTTATATTAGTGCCTGGCTAACGGTGGTACACATTCACATTAATGTGTGGAGAAAAGCTTTAAAGAGCTTATATCATGAAAAACTGACTTTCACTTTTTAATTTAAATAAGAGTTTGATTTATGTAAACAATGTTAAAGTTTAAAACATATCATTTGCTTTACTGTACATACAGCCCATATATGGAAACTAAGCTATAAAAACAGCTCACTGCTTTTGTGATGTCACCAAAATCAGCACATTTACATATATCTATCAATTCAACCTACAGCAGTTTAGCCCCACCCAAGCTGTCTACAGCAGTTCAGCCCTGCCCATTCAGCCTACAGCAGTTTAGCCCCACCCATTCAGCCTACAGCAGTTTAGCCCTGCCCATCTAGCCCACAGCAGTTTAGCCCCGCCCATTCAGCCTACAGCCGTTTAGCTCCACCCATTCAGCCCACAGCAGTTTAGCCCTACCCATTCAGCCCACAGCAGTTTAGCCCCACCCATTCAGCCTACAGCAGTTTAGCCCCACCCATTCAGCCTACAGCAGTTTAGCCCCACCTATTCAGTCTACAGCAGTGTAGCCCCACCCATTCAGTCTACAGCAGTGTAGCCCCACCCATTCATCCTACCAAACTTTAGCCCCACCCATTCATCCTACCAAACTTTAGCCCCGCCCAGTCATCCTACAGCAGTTTACAGAATAAGGTCCAGTTAGCCCACAGAGAGCTCGCTAACATCAACAAAATAAGAGTCTACTGAATCAGTCACACTGATATGCTACCACAGTAATGCAGAGAGTCAAATGTTTACATGACATGATGCTAATTGGTGGGATATAAGCTTGTATTACCTGTTAGCTACACTAGCCTCATAGCTCCAGGGCTAAAACTAAAGAAGCAAACTTCAAACACCCACCATGTCCTGGCTGACTGACTACATTTGGGATAAAGGGTGATTCTGGTTAAACTATCGCTTTAAGAGCCTCAGATGGGAATCGTGAGCAGGTTGAGCAGAGAAAATGAGATTATGCTGATGCCTATGAAGCAGAAGAAGGTGCAGCGCAGGACCCAGAGTGGATCAGGAGAGATTAAACACAGCAGCACATCAATCACCAGCCCTCAGAACACAACACTGCATATACAACATGCTCCAAAACTGCAGGGTGAACGGTACAGTAGTTCAGATCATTTCTACAACCGATCAGTCTGATTAATCATCTACCCAGCGTTTCTTACACTATGGGTTTAAGAGTGATGAGGACTATGTACCACTGCAGTCTGAAACACCACTGATGGCAATGCTGCATAAAATTTTAATCAACAGGTCGACCAATCAGAGCTGCATCGTCATGGTTACTCCTGTAGTTTATTTGCTCATGTTTACTTGTTCATTTTAATAAAGCTGAGCCATCGTTGCCGTTAACTTCGATAATCTCATCGCTGTTACTGCTAAATTAATCAATTTCATTTTCATATCGCCCCCTTCCCTTCCCGTAGTGTATTACAGTCTGTCAGAGTGACTGTGTGGATCATATGAACATTATAGAGCTTTTTAAATGAAACAGTAGAAGCCATATCGCCCCCTACACTTCCTGTAGTGTATTACAGTCTGTCAGAGTGACTGTGTGGATCATATGAACATTATAGAGCTTTTTAAATGAAACAGTAGAAGCCATATCGCCCCCTACACTTCCTGTAGTGGATTACAGTCTGTCAGAATGACTGTGTGCATCATATGAACATTATAGAACACTCTCAACAACTAAATGACTCCATGAACTACTAGTGGAAGCCCTTGAAGGTTTTATGCACTCCTGCTCTGGGTGATAAAACACATGGATGAGTCAGTATATTATGCGAATCGTCTTTATTTTTAGGACATTTCCTCAAGTTATAATCACAATCCATAGACGGGGTCAGAAAACAGGCAGGATAATCCAAGACATATCCATAATCCAGAAACCCAAAGAGCAGGCAGAACGACATTAATCCAGATTAAACCAAGAAACGCGGAACGAAGATGCGGAAATCACAGAAACACGGCTCAGAAATGCAGCACATACACACAAGACTACTTAAAGAACACAGGCAAAACAAGCACTGCCTACAGTTTTCTACTTTACTAGATCCACCTACCTTGTACTCATTGGCCATTTTATCAGAAACACGCACCAACTGTACCTTTGTAGGTGTACAGTTACAGACTGCAGTCCATCTGTGCCTCTACTTCATTCACCAATGGAAAGAGACCACTACAGGACCACCACTGACCACATACTATTTGAGTTTTGAACGCTCAAGTAGTTTTTCAGCTAAACACAAAGCGAAGCGTCCTTCATTAGACCAAAAATACTTCATAAGAGATGAAACCGATTCCACTACTAATTGCAAGCTGTGTGAGAGTGATTCGAAATAAACCAAAAACAAGTGACCATTAGCAGAAGTCCCGCCTCCCTTAGTTACTGTTGTAACAGGGGGAATGAGTGTCCCCTTCCTGCTCGCCAAAGTCACGTGACTGTGCTCCCGGAAATATTTTGACACGGCAGCTCTCGGCGTAAAGTATCCTCTCTGCTTCAATTGATGTCTGGAACACTTTTAAAGATACAATAAGCACATTTTGTGGATTTGGAGACCTCTCTGGTGGAAATATGTAACTGCATGCCACATAACCTATCAACTTATATTACAGAAAGATATAAACAGAGTTTTGCTTAACTACCATAAAAACATTACACACTAAGTGATGACGAAGAATGACATTATCTTAATGAAAATTGCACTGATTTTTCAGAAATTCTGCATAACTTGGTGTGTGAGATGTAAACTGAGAGATTCTGAGTGGTTTGGTGTGAAATACTTCATATGTCTTTACAGTGGTGGTGATAGGAACCAGGGGTCGCCATGACTACAACACAAATAGACATTTTATTTACTATCCAGAACCACCAGTGAACCTACACGAGTCTTCTGAGTTTATATGGAATGTTGATGATGGAAAAAAGTGGAAAATCTGAAAAAATAAGTTTTCTTTGGGGACTATTTTGCCTCACAGCGCCCTGCATGTATCCCTCCACCATGAATGGAGTTTAAGTTCTCAACACTATCCTAAAACAGTGTCTCAGTCATCAGGCAGTGAATTCATAACCAGTTCATGTAGTAACTTTCTGTGAGGGAGCTTTTAGAGGTGGACGTCTGGTTCCTATCACCACCACTGTGAACAGTTCTGACTCGGTAAGTTTCTCTAGAACAGAGCGTTTCACACCAAACCACTCTGAATGACTTTGCTTACATGTTAACCACTTAATTAGGCACACATTTTAGCAAAATTGGTGGATTTCCCCTGTAATTAATCCTATAATGTGTGGCTCTAATTGGCACTCCTTTATTTGACTTGTTCTGGACAGACTGAAGTCACATTTGGAGCATTTTGTCGGTGTTTGCTTTGAAAAATAAGAGCAAATATATGCACAGAGTTATTCACTCCTCCATCACCGGATCACTGCTGCGTTCATTACTGAAGCTCTGAATGGACTCACCCTTCAGCCGGGCATGAAGGACGGATCAGTGCCGGGATCTGAGGGGGCCTCATTAACTCACCACCACAGGACAGCCCTCTAAAACTGCACGCACAGCTGAGCATGCATGCTGATACTTATTGTATTCTTCTATTCGACACCAAAATTGAATATTCTAAATAATCCTCCATCCTACAGTGGACACAGTCTCATTTCCAGACTATCACTAACAGAATCACGGGCATCTGGGCCTACCAATACGGTATCGGGTCCAAAGTTGCTCCCCTCTGTCTAATTTTAAACAAAGATTAATGAGTTTGTGAAGCAGAGCGCCGTTCATTACTCTGATTAATCACCTCCCATTCCACAAAGCTGGATTAGAGTGTTTAATTTATTCATTTCATTTATTCATTTAGTGCGGAAATGTGACATGCTGACCTCACAGCTTTCATTATTCTACTAATATACATTTTGTACAATAACAGTGAAGACTGTAACTATAACATGCTGAATTACACAGCAAGTCATAAAGTGCTATACAAATCCAAAATACCTCCCCCCCCCCAATCCAGTCATACAGGCAGAACATACAGTCCTGTGCAAAAGTTTGGGCACCCCTGTCCAAATTCCACATTGTTGTTCGTTTTCCAAGTGTAAGTAAGTTAACACACACCTCCTCTACAAAGAACACACTTATGCACATTTTAATACACAGTTACTGATCATTTATTGAATTTAACATATTGAAAAATTGCGCAAATATTATGGCACATTTTATAATTTATGTTGTATTTATTTGCCACATGTTAACCTTCAAAAAATGAAACACTACAATTTGCAGAAAAGCCATTTTAAATGTGCTCTCTGTGGGGGACGTGTTCACTTATTCACACAGAGAATCAATAAAACATGTCTTTTGACCGGTGTTCAAATGTTTGCATACAAGTGTGTGCGTATGTATGTATGTATGTATGTATGTATGTGTGTGTACATGTATGTGTGGGTATGTGTTTACGCATGTGTGTGTGTGTGTGTGTGTGTGTGTGAGTGTGAATGTAAATATTGTCACTGTCCAAAGAAAAACATGTACCTCCATTTTTGACGATTTTCACTCTGTGTCATTTGAGCCTGGCAGCCATTCTTTACATTTTGTGAAAATTTCATGATAAATGGACCAATAAAAATGCATTAAACTGCTTAGTGAAAATCTCTTTCCATTAACTTACATTATGAGTGAAGAACGTTTTTGCCGTCTCCTGTAAAGGTACTATTTTGGAGATATACGTTTTTCTTTGGACAGCAAGGATATGTGGGTATGTATGTAAGTATGCCTGTCGGTGTATGTATGTATGTATGTCTGTGTGTGTGTGCGCATGTGTGTATGTATGTGTGGGTATGTATACGTGTACGTATGTGTGTACGTATGTATGTCTGTGTGTGTGTGTATGAATGTGTGTGTATATATGTACATACCCCTGTCGCTGAAGTCATCCACCAGTATAATCTCCGCTATAAGCTCAGGCGGGGAGCGGTTGAGGACGCTGTGGACGGTCCGGAGGAGAGAAGACCAGCCTTCATTATGGAAGGGGATGATGATGCTGGTGTTTGGAAGCTTCTCGGCATACAGCTTCAGCTTACAGCTACACACACACACACACACACACACACAATCTTATTAGGTGCATTAATTGTCCAGTCATGCATAAACAAAACACTGTCAGCAATAGTTACACAAAGGGGCCTTTGTGCATCTCACAGTTAAAGTCATCTTTACTGCTAGAGAGAGAGAGAGTGTTAACTGTGATGCTCACTCACCCATTTAGCACCTTTGTGCTAAGATGCTTTAGGGAAACCCAGGTTATCCCAGGTGGTTGCTAAGATTGCTAGGTCATTGCTATGGAATCCTAGGTTGTTTGCTAAGGTGTTGTCAGGCTGTTGCTATTGTATTCCGGGTGGTTGCTCAGGTGTTACAATGTTATCCCAGGTGGTTGCTAAGATATATTGCTAGACCATTGCTATTGAATCCTAGGTGGTTGCTAAGGTGCTGCTAAGCTGTTGCTATTGTATCCCAGGCAGCTACTTAGGTCTTGGTAAGCTGTCACTTTGGCATCCCAGGTGGTTACTGAAGTGTTGCAATGTTATCACAGGTGGTTGCTAAGATGTTGATAGGCCATTGCTATGGAATCCAATGTGGTTGCTAAGGTGTTTCTAGGCCATTGCTATGAAATTCCAGGTGGCCGCTAAGGTGTTGCCAGGCTGTTGCTAATGTATCCCAGATGGTTGACAGGCCACTGCTATGTTATCCCAGGTGGTTGCTAAGATATAGTGCTAGGACACTGCTATTGAATCCTAGGTGGTTGCTAAGGTGCTGCTAAGCTGTTGCTATTGTATCCCAGGCGGTTGCTTAAGTCTTAGTAAGCTGTTACTTTGGCATCCCAGGTGGTTACTAAGGTGCTGCAATGTTAGCAACCACCTGTGATAAGATGTTTCTAGGCTGTTGCTATGTGATCCCATGCGGTTGCTAAGGTGTTGCTAGGCTGTTGTCCGGGTATTCCGGATGGTTGCTAGGCCATTGCTGTGTTATCCCATGTGGCTGCTAAGGTGTTGCTAGCCCATTGCTATGGAATCCCAGGTGGTTGCTTAGGTGTTGCTAGGTTGTTGCTATGGTATACCAGTGGTTGCAAGGTGTTGCTTGGCCATTGCTATGTTACCCAGGTGGGTGCTAACATAAGTGTATATATGTGCTAGTATGTATGCAAGTCTGTATGTAATGTCTGTGAGGGTCAGTGTGACAGATGTCCTTTGTAACATCATTTGTGGCAACCAGATTTGAATTTCTTGAACATATCGCCAATTAATTCCTATGAGAGATGAAAACAGTGTTTGAACAAATGCTGTAGAAAAGCTGTACGTGCGATCGGTCCCAAAAGCACTAGTGCACTAGTCCCATACAGACTTTATGAAACTGCATAGTGGTTCTAGCTCAAAACGTGCAACCTGTAAAAATGGCACAAAAAAGCACAAAATAGCAAAATGAAGAACAGTAAGTTGGCTTTGCATCTGAATAATTTAACAGAACGACTGTGGCTGTCTGAGGGTTAAGACGGCAGCAGGGCCTCTTTCCAGGAGAATCTGGAGCAGCTGACACTCAGCCAGCTAATAAACTTCATTACATGCTCTCTAAAAATGGACAGATTGGAGGAAGTTAAGGGTTTGTGTGACCTCTGAACGTTTGAAGATTAGTTAAAGCGAGTGGTTCAGAGCCTCGGCCAAACGGCACCTCGGAGACCGAGCGAGAAAAACAGGCCTGACGCGTCTATCAGAAGAAACTCTGAGGATTCTGAGGGAGCAGACTGATCTCCATCTCTCCGTGTCTGATCATCTGAGGAAGCTCACTCAGCTTTCTACCCTCATTAGACATTCAACCTTAAAGATGCTGTGAAGTTAAAAAAAATTAAAAACAGCATAGTCACTTCACATTTTCAGTGGGTTGATATGAGCCGGGTAGCTTAAACGGAATTCCAATGGTTTTCCAAAATTTCTGCATAATTAAGTGGTTAAGATGTAAACAGAGTCATTCCGAGAGGTTTGGTGTGAAACGCTCCGTTCTAGATAAACTTGCCGAGTCAGAATTGTTCACAGTGGTGGTGATAGGAACCAGACGTCCACCTCTAAAAGCTCCCTCACAGAAAGTTACTACATGAAATGGTTATGAATTCACTGCCTGATGACTAAGATGTTGTTTTTTTAGAACTAAAGCGTATTTATTTTGAAAAATTCATTATCACTGAGTAAATGCAAATAAAACTTATTATTTCAGATTTTCCACTATTTTCCATCATCAACATTCTTTGCATGTAAACACAGTAGTCTGAAAAGCCAAATTATATGTCAATCCAACTCGACATTCGTCATAATTTCGTGCTGCTGAGACTCATAAACATTTGGGCTGATGTTTCTGTCCAAAAGTATTAGACACTTACCCAAAAACCCTCAGTGTTTGAAGGGATTTCGAACGAAATGGCCGAATGCAGCCGTAGGAGAACGAGGCTGCAGCGTCAAAGAACTGTTTAAAGTCTGAAAGCAGAGTTTAAAGAATCCGAGGACGCGAACCAAAGAAGTGACCGCGCCCTTTTTACGGCTCGAACACATTCTGGGTGATGAGCCCAGCTGTCAGTCAGTGAAGCTTCATGATGGCTCCTGTGATGCTGGTGAAGATGAAGCTGATCCTCTGGGAGCGACTGGCGTTCGTTGGCGGTCGTGACTGTTTACCTCTGGATGAGCCATGAAGCAGCGTGACGCTCTGTTCTTTTGCGCATGAGGGTCAGTTTAGGAGCTGATCTGTTCAGACTGATGTCTCATACAGATCAGATTTAAAAAGATATTGTCAACAGCCAAACAAAAACATCGGATTTGGTGAGAAAATCAGATTTGGGCCACTTTTACCTGCTGGGTGAATGAAGCCTTTGAGCACTCGAGCACTACAGAACACTCTATAACTCAGATGTGTTCGTAGGTCAGATTGAGCTGCTATTGGAGATTCTGATCCTTTTGACGTTTGTGAAAATGCTCAAGTTACTGATACACGGCTGATTCGTCATCTTGGCTGTCGTCATGTCAATGCCGGAGACGACTGGTCAGAGAGCTTGTGTCGCCCGGTAAAGTCGAACAGAGTGTCAATAATATAATGATGCATTTTTGCTGTCTGAAAAATCATGTTTGGTGTGCAAGATATGATCAGTTATACTCGTGCTGCAATTAATGTTTTGTTGTCCGAATAAATCGTTCTCAATCTGTGGAGCATTCTTGAATAAACTTCTCTGGCTACAATAGATAGTAATAAACATGCTGTGCAGGTTCAGTGAATTCGTTGTAAAATATTTAATGAAATGTAAAAATCACTTTTGCTTCTGTACTTCTGGCCTGCAGTGTAAATTAATGCGGATTATAAAAGCTAAGAAATATTTTTTTTCTTACTTTGGGTGTCGTATGTCGGGCAGTGAGCGGTTGAGAGAGATTCTGTTGCTGACATAAATGTTGAAGCCATTCTCTCTGTAGGCCTGGTCAACACGGTCAGCATCGGTCAGCGGGAACGACTTGCCCTGTTCACCGTTACCTGCAAACAGATTAACACATAAATACATATAAAATAAAGTTAATATTAAACAACTGTTGTTTTAATTCCAGTGATGAGTGAAGTTAACCAGTAAAGATGCCTGTAGAGTTAATTTTGCTCTTTAAAGCCATATTTGGATGGGATTAGTTTAAAGAGGTGAGTGAGGTCATTTTTGTTGGAAATTCACTGTGAGTTTAGTCGATTTGAACACACTCATGCTATAAAACAAGCTGCAGAAATAACCCCAGTTCACATGAATTCAGGGGTATACAACACAACATTAGAAATAAACCCAGGTTACATTAATCCCATGCTATAAATTGCACCATAGAAATAATCCCAGGTTATATTATTCCCATTGTATAAAACGCACCAAAGAAATAACCCCAGATTATGTTAATCCCATGCTATAAAACATTTTGTAGAAATAAAAGCAGGCTATACTAATCCTGTGCTACAAAACGTGCCCAGATTAAATTAATCCCACTGTATAAAATGGACCATAGAAATAACCCCAGATTATATTAAACCTGTGCTATAAATCACACCATAGAAATAATCCCAGATTAGATTAAGCCTGTGCTATAAATCACACTATAGAAATAACCCCAGGTTATATTAATCTCATGCTATACAACGTGCTGTACAAATAACCCCAGGTTCAATTAATCCCACTGTATAAAATGGACCATAGAAATAACCCCAGATTATATTAAACCCGTGCTATAAATCACACCATAGAAATAACCCCAGTTTATATTAATCCCACTGTATAAAATACACCATAGAAAAACCCCAGATTAGATTAAGCCTGTGCTATAAATCACACCATAGAAATAACCCCAGGTTATATTAATCTCATGCTATACAACGTGCTGTAAAAATAACCCCAGGTTACATTAATCCCACTGTATAAAATGCACCATAGAAAAAACCCAGATTACATTAATCCTGTGCTATAAATTGCACCATAGAAATAAAGCTATATTATATTAACCTGTGCGATGAAACAAGCTGTAGAAATAACTCAATTATACCACGTGTGAATCAATGTCAGTAAAAAGGCTATCATAAAAGTAAAGACAGAAGAAAAGTCTGATTTTATGTGGTGATGTTGACTGTTCGCTGTTTCAATCCCAAAATAATGACAATGATACCACAGTGTGTTCACTTAAGACAGTGAATTCTGATTATGGTAAACAAAATATTGGCTGAATTGAATGCTTTAACATTCTCTTCTCTTCTCTGGAGTAAAGGCAGGGCATAAATCGAGTAGCCACTCCCGTCCCTGTGACCAACACTGACATTTCTTATTCCGTATGAACTGGTCATCAACATTTCAGATGTCCTGTGGTGAACTGGCATTACAGCACCTTCCCATGATAAACGAATCCCATCCCAAAAGTGCCTAAAAATTTTCAGTGCTTCAGTTATTATGGTGGTTGTTATGTAGAAATAGACTGATCTACAAGAATAATATCTATAATCTATAAAGATCTCACTACAAATACCCGAGACAGGGAGTGCGTTTACATGCACTTAATAATCCGATAACTGCAGAAAATCTGATTTTGTCAGTAATCTGATCAACCCATTTACATGCACTTGAGTAATCAGATAACGGGGAAACTCCAGGTCCACATGAGTCTGGCAGTAATCGGGTTTCTGCATTATAACCAGCCAATAAACTCACAGAAGAAGACACGACGTAAATGTTACGTAAAACTCAAACTTCATGCTGCGGCCTTTTTTAAAAACATCGCGTCACTTTGCCTGAAAATATGAACAAACATCATCTAGAAGATGAAGAATATTTAAATCCTTCATTTTGTCAAGCATGTAGTCGGTTTCAGCGTCGCTTGAAAAGTGTTTTGCTGCATCTCGCGGCGACTCTGCTCGCTTATTTCCGGTACCGTCTGTTTTCGCACATGCGCAGACTGAGAAATCCGAAAGAAATCAGAGTAAGAGTTCACAGCACTGAGAAATCTGACTACTGAGCTAAAATCCAGCCTCTTTATCAGATTTCTTAATCAGATTTCTATACCTTACTCCATTCTAAGAAATCAGTGTGCTCTCTACATGACCATTTGAATAATCAGACAACTACAGAAATCCGATTATGATCGAATTATTCAGTGCATGTTAACGCACTCAATGTTTGTTTTACACCCAGATCCATTACAGTGTGTTTACAAATACTGAAAATATCTCATAACTACAAATATTACAATATTATTCCTCAAGATGTAGGTCTGACAGAAACCAGAACTCACTGCATGTAAGATGCTTGAGTTGCTGGTTTATATTTTTTCTTATTTTCTGTCTTCCAGCTGAACACTCGACTGTAAAATCAACAGGAGCTGATACATTATTCAACTTTCCTGGTAATGTATCAGCTTCTGATCTCGCATCCTACTGGATCTCATGCATAGAAACTGCCACATAACCAAGATTTCGACTCTGCTGTAGCCCCTTCCAGTTTAACCATCATTCAGTTCCCATGTAAATGTAGGAATGTGTGAAGGGGGCTTGAGGAAGCAAACTCTAGACATCAAACATGCTTTGGCTGATTAACTACATTTAGAGTAAGAGGGTGAAATTTGAATTTTTCACCAAACTGCCACTTCCTGTGAAGTGTGTACTCACCTGTTCGGGCTGCATCTCTTTTGATCACTTCATAATCGTGCCAGTCTTTCCTCCGCTGACCACCATGACTCGCGGGTGGCCTGGGCCCTCCGTTCAGTCCCTAAAACACAAATGCAGTACAGTCAGACACACGTACAACTCGCACTTCCTTTAATATCGGACACCAGGGTTCATCTGGTTCTGTTATCCAGCACTGAATTCATTAAAAAAAAACATACTTAAACTAAAATCTTTTCAAAACTATGATAAAACAATGTCACAGACATCAGGAAACATTAAGAGCTATTTGACGTAATAACCTTGAGCTTTTAGAGGTGGATGTCTGGACTGGGTTGTACTGGTTTTGCATAGGTTTTACTTATTTTGTGCATAAAGTCTTTACTAAGTCCTTAAGTCGTGCCTTAACTAGTAACAACTAACTGACGCGTTCGACACTTTAATATGATAACATTCAGAACCAATCTATAAACCCGCTACCATGGAAACACAACGGCAGCTTGCGCTGAATTTTTCCAAAAAACAAAAAATGAAATTTAATTAAAATGTTCATCTCTGAAATTTTGAGCAAAAATTTAAGATTTTTTTTCCTGTATGACTAAAGAGTGAGCTGTTCTAACTTTGGTAACATGCGACTACTGATGTTTAACAAAACAACAGAAAACCCACATTTAACTTTTGAAAATTAGATCACTTTAAACCAATCAGAACACAAATTTTCTGCAATTTTTTCTTCAAATTTCCTCATCAGGCTAAATTTAGCTGACATTATTGGGTTAAAAATAACATACCTATGGATGGGAGGGTCTATGCTGTAACTATGCTGTCATTTTACCCTTTGTTGCTGATTATTGAAAATAAAAAAATGCAAACAAAAAATACAAATATATATATTTATTTTGGGCATTGGAACATTTTTTTGAGTTTTAATGAAAATTATTATGATTTTTTGTGATCAGCTGTTCAAAGCTGTGTTTGCTGGTCATGTACTGGCTAGCGATTTTGAGTTCCGCTCAAAATGAACTAAAAGTGTCACTACTGAAACATTTGGTAGTGACAAAATGGAATGGTCAATAATTAAAGGAATAGAGTCACTCAAAGCAAAAGGATTTTAGTCTAAAGTCTAGGTCAGTTAAAAGTCCCAAATGTGAGCCAATTCAGTAGAATGATCCATACATACATACATACATACATATATATATATAAAAACATATACATACATACATACATATATATATATATATATATATATAAAAAAAAATCTTAAATTTTGGCTCAAAATTTCAGAGATGAACATTTTAATTAAATTTCATTTTTTGTTTTTTGGATCAATTCAGTAGAATGATCCATACATACATACACATATATATATATGATCTCTGTCCAATGAAAAGCATGTCTCTCCATTTTTGCCAATGTTTATTTTTCTATATAATTTCAATAAATCAGCTGTCCTTTACATCGTGTGAAAATTTCCTGATGTATGGACCAATAAAAACACCCTAAAATAAAAATATATAATGTAATAATATATAATGTACAACTGCAAACAGCAGAGATGCGGACTGAGTTGTCGCTCACGGGTAAAATTAATGCATTCAACATTAATGCATTTCAAATGAATGCATTCCTTTCTTGATTATGCTCTCTGCACTGCAGCATTATTTAAATCTGTACCCAGACAGAAGGACATAGAGCCATATGTTCTGGATGCAGAAATTATTATGTATAAAACTATTAAAGGCATTTACAAAATGTATATAAAAGTCTTCTTATAAAGAAACTCTGTGACCTACACAAAGCATGTTGAAACTGAATTATACTGCGGATCCATAATCATTAACAACACAGATGGGCTACAGGCTATAAATCATTCAGCGCTAATTCAGCCTTTAATAAATGTTTATATCTTTCAATGGATCACCAGCCATCTAAATGAATATCGAAGTAGCGGTGGTCCATACGGGGGAAAAACGGTTAATGACGATTCTGAGACATTTTCACAATAAACTATACGCATCACAATATCTTAGTACACAGACAAAATGCACTATTAGTGCCATCCTGTCCTTTTAGTACTGATAATATCCACAATATCCTCAGAAGAACGTACCGTTTATCACACAACTAAATCGATCATGATAATGTCAGAATATCGCCATCTCTAATCCCACACACCATATTTACACCATTTTATCAGCTCCACTAACTATATAGGTGCACTTTGTAGTTCTACAGTTACAGACTGTAGTCCATCTGTTCCTCTGATACTTTGTTAGCCCCCTTTTACCCTGTTCTTCAGTGGTCAGGACCCCCATGGACCCTCACAGAGCAGGTACTATTTGGGTGGTGGATCATTCTCAGCACTGCAGTAACACTGACGTGGTGGTGGTGTGTTAGTGTGTGTTGTGCTGGTCTGAGTGGATCAGACACAGCAGTGCTGCTGGAGTTTTTAAACACCTCAGTGTCACTGCTGGACTGAGAATAGTCCACCAACCAAAAATATGTGGGCAGCGTCCTGCGACCACTGATGAAGGACTAGAGGATGACCAACACAAACTGTGCAGCAGCAGATGAGCTATCGTCTCTGACTTTACATCTACAAGGTGGACTGACAAGGTAGGGGTGTCTAATAGAGTGGACAATGAGTGGACACTGCTGTTTGATTCACTGTCGCAGACAAATATCCAGCGTTGGAATAAAATCATGAGAGTCTTGCTAGAGTTGCGTCACGCTCGCGTCATCTCGATCGGTCAGTGTGAGGTGGTCAGGGCGGCTGTTTTAGGGCAGTCTTTTTTACGCCTTGACGCTGCGACAAAATCAATCATGTTTAAAATTATCGTAAGTTTTAAGTCCTGGCTTATGAAAATAGTGACATGCCTGAGAGAGAGCAGGTGGCACAACAGAGCGAGCGAGAGAGAGAGAGAGAGAGAGAGAGAGAGAGAGAGAGAGAGAGAGAGAGAGCGAGAGAGCATGTGTAAGAGCCTGAAATCTCCGTAAAAAGGCAAATCTGCTCCACTTTACAACAACAATCACATTAACTTAAAACATAAAGTGGCTGTTTTAATATTTCAGGTTCACTGTGTGCAACAGTGATGTAAGGAAAAGTGCAGAGGACTTTAACAATGACATTATTGAAGAAGCATCAATGTTTTTTTTTTTTTGCTTCCTGTTACACTGGTTTTATTTTGTTTCACCCAGTCAACGATGCTGAATCGCTGCATATTGTGTTGATGTGAAAATCTTCATCTGAAATAAAAACATTTTACAGGTTAATTAAAAGATTCTGGGTGATGATCTGCCAGAATATACAGCTCCACAGTGAACTGGGCTGAGCCCCAGATCTTTACACACCCAGCCAACGTATTTTCCCATCTGTACCACTATATAGTGGAAGGAAAGGGTTTATCTGCTTGTAAATTTCCACCAGGTGCATGATGGGAAATAAACTGAAAACCCTAGTTGCACAAATAGTGACACTGCAAGATCCCCAGACTTCATGCAAAATCATAGTCTATGGCTAAAAACTGTGACAGTGTATTTAGATGTGAGAGGGAGTCAGACTTTCTCAGTCTTTCAAAAGTCTTTACAAAGTCTTCTCCAAGTCTTCTGGTGTACGGTTAGCATGAGACTCGACTCCTGCCACGATAGTTTATAGGATCAGCTCTTCAACTCCACTTAACTTTAACCAGGACAGCACCAGAGCCGGTGATAAAGGGACACAGCAGATATTAAACCGTCCCAAATGTTGTTTACTTATTTTTTGAGTAGCTACAGATTATAGTGATGAAGATTAGTAGATTATACCAAGAAATATCAGATGAACAATTACAGTTGACGCATATTTCAACACCTCTTACCATCAGCCTGTTTCACGTAATGAGGGGAAACTGACTGATGTTCTGAGAAAATAATTGCTGCAGTCATAATTCTCTGAAAAAAGGAACTACTTTCAGTTTTTTTCAGTCCTTTGAAAAAGAAACCAGGTTTTCACTCCAGAAGAGTCGTCAACTTGTCCCTCTTTTCAAAAAGGCTGAAGTTGCTTCTTATTGACTCTCCTGTTCCAACTTAAATAATACAACCGTCACCTTAAGCTGCGTTCACATTACAAGCCTCATTGCTCAAATCCGATCTCTCTGACACGATGGTTCACACTCGTTTAGGTGACTCAAATCTGTCATTAATGTGACGAACCGGCGTCCTGAAATGACCCTCATGCGCACATCCTACTCAGTAACGTCACGTGAATGAATCACGTTCATCATCAGCACAAACTAACGAGCAGAACGAGCTTCGCTGAGAAGATAATTAACTCTGATCAGCTCTCAGCTTCATTATTAGAGCGAGACGAAGGAGAAAAAGTGAGATGAGCTGCTTTTCCACCGTTTACTGGCTTTAACTTCTGTTCGGCGCTGCTGCCATGGTAACGCTGAATGATGGCGCAGTGGAAAAAAAGCACATGAATTCCGATCTGAGCTTCACATTAAGGTCACATGGCCACAATCGGATACGTATCCGATCTAGGACTACGTATGAAAGTGGCTCAGGTCGGATTTGAAAAGATCAGATTTGTGTCCACACAGCCCTGAAAACATCAGATCTGAGTCACATAAGGGCAAAAAATCGGATTTGTGCCACTTCAGCCTGGTAATGTGAACGTAGCCTTAATCTTCTGCTGGTGTCAGAATGTCACTGCTGCAGCATTTAAAGTTGAACGTAAAATCTGAACACAAATTAGGAGTCAACTTAATTGTTTTCCACAATGTTCTGTGAGAAACACTGTTTTTGTTTTTTGTTTTATTCCATCTATCGTTTCTAATCATTGCGTATTGCACCCCTAACCATGAGGAAACTGCAGAGTGAGGTGCAGAGGAGACAGGAGGCATCGAAAACGGTTCTGTGAGCAGAGTTTGCGCTTACAGCAGCTGGTGAGCAGTCGTCATTGTTTAAAGCTGGTATTTAAACAAACTCATGCTACTCAAAACTCACTCTTTCCTTCTTTACACACTCCTCTGTCAAACCGTCCCTCAAGCTAATTACGATAAAAAACACGGACTCAACAGAGTCGAAGAGTCGACTCCAAGCATTCCGACTCTCAGAGTC